CCACTCTGTCCTCTAGGGGCGCTGTGGGTCGGAACCGACTTCGTGGTGGGTTTGGAATCTTTTCAGGAGCAGACTTCCAGGAGCCCCTGGTGGGCTCGACCCACCAGATAAGAGTTTAACCAGGGCTCCACCACTCACCTGTACTCCTCCACAAAGGACAAGTCTTCGGCCACTTGCAGGGGGCTCAGGGGTACTCCCTGCCAGAAGGCCAGCCCCTGAAGCTGCTGGGCCACAGTCTCGGCCTGCCGCCGGGCCCCCCGGGCTGCAGCCACCAGCTCCGTGCGCTGTGTGAGCACTTCTTCCAGGGTAGTCAGGTCCGTCCTCACCGCCTCGCCCAGCCTCTCCACTGTCTCCAACACCTGCAGGGAGGGTGGGGCTGAGGCTGTGGGGACCCTGGGGCTGGGGGACTGGGCTGTGAGCAGGACGTAAGGACGTAAGTGTGACTTGTCGAGTGGGAGCTCCCGAGGTACGGGGTATCTGAGGATTGTCTGTGAGGAAGGTCTGAGATCAAGTTCAGGAGCTCTAGGGTGTCAGGGCTTGAGCTCTGGGGAGTGACTCTGGCCCCAACGTTGGAATTAACTCTGGGTCCTAGGTCTGAGGTTTATATCTGTCACCCTCGGTCTAGGGTCTCAAGTCTTGGTTCCAAGGTCCAGGGTCTGAAATGGATATGAAATCCAGGGTTTGGGGCTGGACCACATGTCAACATTGGTGTCTGGACTCGGGGCTGAGGCCCTAATGTCTGGTGCCAGAGTGCCAGCATTGAGGTCCCCGGGCTCACTCAGGTCATCTGTGGCCATAGATCTGCTCCGAGGTCAGGCTCTGGAAGCTGCAGACCTCGGCCTTTGTCTAGTTTGCAGGATGAGTCACAACTTGACATCCAGAGCTGGAGATGGGTATGAGTTTGGGGCCTGGGGCCTTTGCCCCCGTCTGATCCTGTTTCTCTGAGATGGGTCCCTTTGTCCCTGGGTCCTGATGTGGGAAACCAGTCTGGGTGTGAGGCTGGGGTCTTGGTTTGGGTTTAGGATAAGTTTCAGGTTGAAGTCCAAGGCTGGAATTGGGTGAGTCTGGGGTTGGGTTTGGGCTCTGAGTTCCAGACCTGGGTTAACGTTCTGATGGGCCGCCATCTGTGTGGCCCTGGCGGGGTGGGGGGCGCCGGCTTCTGGCCGATTCCTGCTCCCACAGCCCCCTGCCTGCCTCCCACAGCGTCTCCTAGGCTGTCAGTCTTCGCAGAAGCAAAGCGTTAGGGTCATTGTTTGGGCATATAGTCCCCAGTGCAAGTCTGAACCTGAAGTTCTGGGTCTGGGGTGCTAAGTTTTACATCTGAGGTCTTTGCTCTGGTCTGAATCCTGTTTTTCTGGAGGGAGTTCCTTTGTCCCCGGGTCTGGGGTCTGGGGTCTGGCCAGCGGTGGGCCCTCACCAGGTGGTCCACGGTGCTGAGGGTGTGGTTGGCGTGAAGCAGTGCGGAGCTGAGCTGAAAAACCCCATCGCTGGTCTCGCTGTTGCCATAGAAACCGATGCCAATGCCGGCGCTGGGAGGAGGAGGAGGGAAATCTCAGTCGGTCCCGATACCCCTGGGGCCACCGCCCCCTCCTCATACCCCATGCCGCCCTCAACTCGCGTCCCATTGGTCCAGTGCATCGTGGGAAAGGAACCGCTCCAGCCCCGGGTCCCACAGGTTGTCAGGGCAACGGGAAGGCGTCCCTCCCCCGGCTGGAGGGACGTCATTGTGATGCTAATGGTGGGTGGAGTGGCGGAGGGGAGCCGGCCCCCGAATTTAACTCCCACCTCACCGGAACGGAACCCAAATCACGCCCAGCCTCAGGGTAAGACGTGTCTCCTCCAAGGACGCCAGCCCCACACCCCTCCTCGCCACCCACCTAGGACGCTGGCGTCCTCAACACCTGTCCCCTCAGGTATCAGGAGGCCCCGCCCCCGCCACCTGGCGGCTTCTAGGGGTGCAGACCCCCAGTCCCCGTCTCCTGGGAACCCAAGCGCCCGGCCAGCTGGGAGGCAGGCAGGGGGCTGTGGGAGCAGGAATCGGCCAGAAGCCGGCGCCCCCGCCCCGCCAGGGCCAACACACAGGGCCCCATTGTGGGGCATGAATGCAGGCCCCAAGCCCTGCCCCCCCGTGCGCCCCGGGGCGGCGGGGGCGACAGGCAGCCCGGGCGGAGGGAGACGGTCGTCCTCCCAGTTCCCAGCGCCGCGCTGCGCGTGGGGGCCTCCACCCCCGACCCTGGCTCTGACGCCAAGCCCCAGCGCCCCCGCCCCATTGTTCAGCCTTACAAAGCCCCCTTGTTCCCAGGCAGCGGGGGCCGGGCCGTGTCTCTCCCCCATGGGGCCTTTGTGTAGCGCCCCTGCCCACCCCCACTCCGGAGCTCCTGAAGAGACAGAGGCTTGGATATGGGGCAGCCAGCCCCACCCCACCCCCAAACCCACACACGGTTTCTCCCAGCAGCGCGGGAGAGGGGCCTAGCTGGGCTTGGGGGGCGGCTTCCAGGCAATTCCACGGGCTGCAGGAGCACCGTTGCTTGTCCTTCCACTGGCTACCTGGGGGCTTGGCGCCCTGGTCTGTGACCTAGGGGTGCTACTGGGGCGACCGGTGCTCAGACCGGCTCCTGCTACCTGCTGCGCCCGCAGGTGCCCTCCTCTCGTCCCTGGACATGCCACAGAAGGTTTTGGGTTTTGATGGGTTTGGGTATCAGACTACCTTGGGTCCCAGCTGCCGCTGTTCCACTTCAGCCCAGAGGCCTTGAAATGGTCCCCTCTCTCTAAGCCACCCTCTTTCAAAGATGGACAGAACTACCCTATGTCCATCAAGGTGACGGTAAGAGGGAGTAAGATAAACTCAGATTTGTGCACACAGTGGGTGCTCCTGGATTTTAAATATTCAGTGACTGCCTTCTCCTTGCCCAGAACGTCAAGTCCATGAACAGCTGTTGCCACAGTCTTTTCCAACTCAGAGCAACCCCCTAAGACGGAGAACTGCCCCCACAGGGTCTCCAAGGCTGTCATCTTTATGGAAGCAAAGCCCAAATCAAACCCATTGCCTTGGAGTCAAGTCTGACCCACAGCGCCCCTAGAGGACAGAGTGGAACTGCCCACAGGGTCTCCAAGGCTGTCATCTTAAGGAGGGAGCTCTGGTGGCGTAGTGTCTAAGGCATTTGACTGCCAACCAGAAGGCTGGAGGTTCAAACTTACCAGCCGCTCCTCAGAAGGAAAACCGGACAATCTACTTCCATTGAGACACCACCTCAGAAACCCAAGGAGAGGTCGTTATGAGTCAGATCTGACTTGATGGCAGTGAGTTTGGTTTGGTTTGATCTTAAGGAAGCCCACTACCACATCTTTCTTCTGCGGAGTGGCTGGTGGGTTGGAACAGCCAACCCTTTACTTAGCAAAACCAAACTGAGCACTTCACCGCTGTGCCACCAAGGCACATGCTCTCCATGAAGGCAAGAACCTTATCTGGCTCGTTTGGTATCGCCCAGCACATATCGCCCAGCACATAGTAGGTGCTCATGAAAGGCTTGCTGAATGAATGAATGGGTGAATCACTATCTCACAGTTGTCAAGGCCTTGTGAATTATCCCATTTAATCTGATTGTAACTACGACTTGGGTGTTTACTGTAATGTCCATTTTACAGAAGTGCAAACAGGCCCAGAAAAATAGCATCACCCCACTTAGCTCACACAGTTATTCACTGATGTAGTCAGTAAACCCAGGTGGTCTCACCGCTCAGCCTTGGCTCTTAACCCCTAACCTCTCCTGCCAGGCTGGCTGTCCTTGGCATAGTCTCTTCACCTCTCTGAACCCTAGCTTCTCCATCCATCAAATGGGAACGATACTCCCTACTGCGAGGATGGATCGGGATTCTGTCTCCGGGGGAGTCGCCCCCTTCCCGTCTGCCCCCACGTCCCGGGATACCACCAGGAAGGCTGGTGGGCCGACTGGAGTGGCCTGGCCCCGTTCCCCGCCCACCCTGGGGCCCCATTACCAGCCGATGAGAAGGGCAGCCACACAGCTCCAGGTCACACAGCCCCCGCCTGGCTGGGGGCTCTTGGCCCCGGGCGGCTCTGGGGGCCGGCAGCAGCAGAAGCGGATGAGGTAGACAGCGATGAAGATGAGGCTCAGGCCCAGGCCCAGGCCGGCCAAGGCCACCACCAGCAGCAGGGCCTGGGGAAGGCGTGCAGTCAGGCCTCTGCGGGCGCCTGTGTGTCCCAGTCTCGGCTCTCCCCCTCTGCACAGCTGGGGCTTCTGCTCTGGGACCTCCAAGTTGAGAAGCGCGGAACCCTGGGCCGGATCAGAGGCTGTCCTCCGATCCCACCTGCTGATGTCCGGTTTAGGGGGCGAGAGCTGGGGTCTCCAGCCCTGCCCAAGATGGCACTGGAAGGAGGTCCCCACAAGGAGGCTCAAGTCTCGGGTTGTAGTTCTGTTCGCCCTCCCATGGCTGTGTGACCTTTGCCAGGGCACCCACCCTCTCTGAGCCTCAGTTTCATCCTCAGTGCAAACAGGCGGGTGGAGTCTCAGAAGTGTCTGCGAACCTGTTGGGGTTCCTGAGAACTGTGTGGGATCGGGGGCGGGCACGGCGTGTCTGCTGCAGGCGGGCTTGCTCTCCCTCCTCCCTGTCAGTCCTCCCCTCCACCCCGCTGAGCACTGCACCCCACCACAGCTGTAAGTCTGCCCCCCGGGGACTCGCGGGGGGTGTGCAACGGCTTCGGCTTCGGTGACAGTGTGTGTGAGAGACTCAGAGATGGGGACTGGGTGAGTGGAGACAGAAGTAAGAGGGGGTGATGGAGAGAGACAGAGACGGAGAGGAGGAGGAGGGAGAGAGGAAGGAGCGGAGAGAAGGAGCAACAGAAGGAAGGGAAGAGAGACGTTCTGCAGTGGGGTGTGTAAGTGCACGAGGAGTGTGTGAGTGAGTGCGTGTGAGTAACGAGAGGAGGAAGAGGGGAGGGGAGCGAGCGAGATGGAGGCAGGCGGAGGAGAGCGGGAGGTGCAGGGCTGAGGCCGGGAAAGACACAGAGATGAGCAGAGACTGAGCGAGCCAGGCAGAGAGAGACAGAGACGAGGCTCAAACAGGGGGAGAGACAAGCAGACGGCTGAGACGGGGGGGAGGGAGGGCCGGGAGGACAGGACACTGGGAGGAGACACGTGTGGGGCTGGGCGTGCCTCCCGGGTGGGAGGGCTCCCTGCGTGGCAGGGGCCTTGCAGTAGACGCTGTGTGAACTGTGTGTCTGTAGACACTGACTACAGGGTTGGGTGGGCCCTTGCCTGCAGCCCCACCTCCAGGAGGGGCAACGTCGTGTCCTGGCACCCAGACCTCTGGGCTCAGCAGTACTGTGTCCCTTAAATCACAGTGTCCTTATGGGTGTGTGTGTATATAAATAAGAGTGTGACTGTGAATGTGTGTGAGTGAATGTGTGTGTGTGCATATAAATAAGAGTGTGACTGTGAATGTGTGTGAGTGAATGTGTGTGAGGGTGAATAAGTGTAACTGTGTGCAAATGAGTGTGTGTATGCATGTGAATAAGAGTGACTACAAGTGTGTGTGAATATGCATGTCTGAGTGTAAACAATGTGGGTGTGAATGTGTGGGTGTGAGCAAGTGAGTGAGTGAGTGTGAATAAGAGTGTGGATAAAGGGTGAATGACTGTGTGAATGAACATGTGTGAGTGTGAAAAGAGGGAATGTGAGTGTGTGTGTGAGTGCAGGTGCAAGTCTCAGTGAATAAGTGTGTGGATGAGTGTGTGAATTGTGTGAATGTGAAAAGGGTCAGTGTGAGTGTGTGTGTGAGCACAGGGGTGAGTATGTGTGAGAGTGTGCACTGAGTGTGTCCTTGTGGGCCCACTGGTGCCGGAGTGAATCTGTGGGTATTTCTGCGTTGGGGACACAGTTTCTTGGGTCCAGGAGTGGCCTCTGGAGGTGGGAGGGTGTGTGTGTGCAGGTTTGTGTTGGCAAGTCAGTGTATGAGCGTGTGAGTATGAGTGTGCATGAGTGTGAGTGCATGTGCGTGAGGGCGTGCAAGTGAGTGTATAGGTGTGTGTGAGTTTGAGTGTGTGAGAATGAGTGAGAGCGTGCATATGAGTGAGTGCATGTGAGTGTATGTTCAAGAGTGTGCACGTGAGTGATTGTGTGAATGCATGTGAGCGAGGGCATGCAAATGAGTGTATAGGTGTGTGCGTGAGTGAGCGTGTGTGAGAATGAGTGACAG